ATACCTCCACGAGAAGCCTCAAGAGAGCCCCAACATTGGGTGAAATGCGCCAATATGGAAAAAGATATGCCCCAAGAATGCACCAGGATCGCCGAAGATTGGCACAAACTTGCCCCAATTTTGACCACCCGCTGGAGCAAGCTTGCATAAGCAACAAAAATGACAAAAAAACTGTCAAAACCAACTTTCTTACACTTGTCGGACCTCATTTTTCACGTGTTTTTGTGTTTTACACGCACTACGCAAAAGACCACCTGCCCAAGTCAATCGGCAAAGAAAAAAAACAGCCAAGTGGACCAGCATGTCTGCAAAACAAGTGACATAACAGCAGCAAAGCCTTCAACATAGCCCTGATCTAGACCCCACGGCCCCAATCACTTCCAACATAAATCCACGAGAAGGCTCAAAGAGAGCCTCAACATTGGGCGAAACGCGCCAAGATGGAGAAGGATATGCCCCAGGAATGCCTGAAGATCGCCGAAGATTTGCACAAACCTGCCCTAAATTTGACCACCAACTGGAGCAAGCTTTCATAAGCAATAAAGCTCTCACAAACACATTTCTTGCACTTGTCCAAACCTTTGTGATGCTGGTTATGTTCCCTGGGGAAGACTGCAGTATTGACATCATGGGTGTGCTCGTCAGGAGCAAGCTTTCATACGCAAACAAACGATAAAAATAAGCTCTCGAAAACACCTTCCTTACACTTATGAGACCTCATTTTTTCATGGTTTTTACAGTGCTTTATGCACATTGCACTTCAAAGCCTTCGAATGCGAGATGACAAGATAAACCTCAAAAATTGCCTCCCGTGCAGGTAAAATGCAACTTTTTGAAGGTAAATAAGCTCAACACAAACCCATCCAAAGCAATTTTTTACTGTAAATTACAGTGTTTTATGGACCTTCGAACATGCCTAAAAAAGCCCGCACGGTCTGCAAATCAGCTTGGCCCCCCCCCCACCCCCCCCCTTCCCTTTCGGTAATACTTCCAAGCGCTACAGCGCTTTCCGTCATCTTGTGGGTGTGCTTATACTGTCTCTCAGAGTCATGATGCAGGTGTGGTTTGACCAACGTTCACCGCCGCAGCTTGCGTTCAATACAGTGAATTTCCAAATCAGATGGGACTGGACCATATACTTAGATCATCTTCCATCGGCCGTCAGCCCCGATATGTATACCACCCCAATGTATGTAACTTTCCGCCCATCCGCGGACACGAGAATCCATAGGTAGGGACATGTAGGGACTGTCCAGAGATCCAAAGAGCAGGCATCAGTGTCACTAGCAGCTGGTTCCAGGCTGAAACGCATGGTGAATGATGCTATCTGATCCTTTGGAGACGTTCCACTGCAAACTGTTTATCAATGGATATAATTATATAGAATATATTGGAATATATTGGAATCACAAACAAATATCAACATCAAGTCAGGAGCTGGAACATCAGTTTTGAAGCTGTTTCCTTCCCAGGAGAGCGTGGATTCTCAACGCCACAAAACACTCACAACCCATACAGGTCCATGAATCATCATGAATCTCTGCAAAGATCGACGAGAGGAAGTCCGCACAACAGTGAACACCCAATTCTTTCAAGGTTCGTTCCACTCCGATCGAACGCCCCTGTGACAGTTCCACCTGCCCAGCACTCTTTCCACCTCCCATCCACCTGCCCAGCACTTTCCACCGCCCGAGCCGCTTGTCGCCATAGTGGTTGAACACCTCCGCTGCGGCTGGGACGCCCTCGTTGGTGATGAAACTCACTTTCTCCACATCCGCCTGCCACACCTCAGGCAGGATCATGCCAGCCTTGAAGATGCTGGAAGAGCCACATTATGAACACCGCCCTGCAACTGGAAACCAATACATGAAGCACCCTCTTGAGCCTTCTACTTGATCAATACAACACATCTGCTTACATCACCACAAGAATGCTTCCAGACTGGGATGGATCAACCAATGCTTTGGTGAAAACAACCGCCCCACAGAGACAGCTTCGTTCGTTCGTCGCTCCGCGACCGATCCGGTGAGCCCACGAGGACGACAGTTGGACGCACATGGAGCACCACTTGGACGACGACACAGCTGTTGTTGTCGTCGTTTTGTTGTGTCCACTTCCATCTTTGTTTTTGGCATTGTAGGTCCAACACTCCCCTTTCAATCTAAGGAGAGGGCAGGTGCAATGAAAGGAATCTGAATGGGAAAGTACCTGCCTAACGACGCTTGCTCGGGTTCTAACGATCCCTCCTCTAACCAAGTGAACAAATCGTGGACAAGATCAGCTACCACTGGAATGGAATTTTCGTAGCATGCGACAAGACTCGCTAGAAGAGACCGAATTGATGTGTTTCGCCCCGAAAGCCGACTGGGACTCGTAGAGAATGCACGTCAGAAGATCCCAGAAAATGGTCCCTGCCAACCTCACAACTTGCCCAGGCGCGATCTTGGTGCCGCTGCGGTGATTGGTGAAATCCATGAACCTTGGAGCAATCACCGCGCCACGTCCGAGGCCACGTCGATTCGGGGATACAACATCACTCAGCGAGGCAACCAACAAATCCACCACATGGGATGTTCCACCAGGTTCTGCAGGGGCACGGAACATGGAAAGCCGCCTTTAGCACCCACCATGATCAGGGTTTCCGGGTGTATATATTTGATCTTTTCTCCACAAAACGAATCGTCTCGATATATCATTCTCTATTTTCCGCATCCTTCCAATTTGCTGCTGACTAGTGAAGGCCGCCAGTTCTGGGTCCGGCCTTCAGTAAATCCGAGCACTCGAACAAGCCCTGAAAACTATTAGTGGATATGAGTGGATTGAGAGGACCAATGGCACAAACCCCAATGTCGGTGGTTGAGATGGATCCCCATCAGGACATGGATCCCTGTAACTGCCTGGTGACGGGACCAGCACGCCCTCGCCGTCGGACTCCTCTTCCATCTCCTCCTCGGAGGAACGCTGCCAGCCTCAGGTCATTTCAGGTCGGTGGGACTGTGGTCCCTTTGGTCAGCACGGGGTTGGAACCAGGTGGGGGAACCCACAGAACTGAAGCCAACATAGCCAGCTCTGAATGATGAGCACTATGGGGACCTGGTTCTGTGGACGGGATTTCTTTATTTCAAAAGTTATCAAAAAGGAACTTGAGTGGTCCTCCAGATCCAAGTTGATCCAAGTTTGATGCTGGATAGGTCTCTAGAAAGGCTTCGCTTGCGTAACAGCTCTCGTTCTTCTTCACATTTGTTGGAGAAGAATCTTCAAAGATCGAGAGCAGCCTATATAATTCTTGTAGGTTGCTCGTGCAAGGCAAAGGACACCGTTTTAAGGTTCTATTCCTCTGCCTCAGCGGAAAACGTACCGCTCACCGAGAACGTGGTGGAGCATGGCTCGCCCTTCAACTCTCCCAGGAACGATAGTCCTTCGGCTGGTCGATGGCCCCGAGGGCCGTGGGATACCGCCGGGAGAACCACATGCCGTGCGCCCAAAGGAAGACCTGGCCGAGCGGATGAGACATGAGACCGATGCCACCCTCCGCGGGGGGTTCGGGTGGTTTTTCTGCGACCGTTTGGGGGATCTCGGGGGTCTGAGGATCGCACAGCCGGCTGAGGATCCGCATGAATGGCCCAGCAATGGCTTCATTCCGAGTTCAAAGGAGCGGGTGGGTGAGTCTGTGATGGCCGAACTGCCTACGGGTGAGCACGCTCAAGCGGTGAGCCGAACACACCCCACAGAGCAAGTGAGGATAAACATAGAACACAAAAGGCTCCGGCTATTGGAAAACAACAACAACAACCACAACCACAACCACAACAACAACCACAACCACAACCACAACCCAACTGGCCTCAAAGGTGAAGTCCTTGCCTTGGTTTCCACGTGTGCGCGCGACGTCACGTCTCCACGTGTGCGCGTGACGTCACGTCTCGCGCACATGGGAGAAACAAGTGGTGCCTGACTCAATCTCAGTTTCCGGTGGAAACCTCTGAGCCTTCACCTTTGTCCACGTCTGTGAAAAGACCTGCCATGTCCATCTGAGAAGCACATCACCAACTTGGATAGACGGCCTGAGAGTATGTTGAGTGAGGAAACCCTGGGTCTAACGGTGGATCCACCTTTTTCCCCGGGTATAACGGTAGAAGCCCGGAAAAGCGACTCCGCGGACCAATCACGTGCAAATGAAACCTGGGGCACCCTTTCGTAGAAGAAGTTCGTAGAAGAACTTTGTGTGCAACACCCTTATTCTGCCTACCACCTCAGATGCATGGCTTTTTTTTGGATGTTTCTAAAAAAACAGCCTCGGCCGTAATTTTCAAAAACGGCCGTAAAATACCATAATTGCCTCTAAAGGAGGTTCCAGAGGAGGTCTCAGGATTCCAAGAGGACGATTACATTTGCATCCATTTCATGTTGGAAGTTGTGGCACTTTCAACTGCTGCCCTCCTTTCAAGAGGCCAATGAGAGTACATTACCGTATATATAGTCATGATTCAATAGCCCAGTCTTCACATAGACGCTTTGATAAAGTACATCAAAACAATTTCAAGACAAGGATGCACATGGGTTGCTGCTCCTTCCTTTTTCAGTGAGCAATGGGGAAGATACCAACTCCTGCGTTCAAAGGCCGGAGAATTGATATTTTTTCCTGAAGAGTCTGCAGCATGCAAATTGATTTGCAAGCTAGTGAGTGTCCTCAGTGTCCTCATTTGGATGTGCCTTGAGGCATTTGTCAAATACGTATTCCCTTTTGCCCTGAAGCCATTGGTCCAAGAGTGTGGGATTTGTCACAAATGCTGCAACCCAAGGGTACGGAAGCTTTGGAGAAAGGTCCCATGAATGAATGGGACTTGTCATGGGTGTCAGAGCTTCATGTTATCTGGGACAGAGACAAACTTTTCCGCTCTTGCTCGCAGAAAGGGGCGCCTTTCACTAGAGGCCTCAAGCAAAGTGAAGGCGAACCAGTTGTTGTAGGATGCATTGAATGCGTCCACAATAACTTTGAAGCCTTGAAGCCTATCACCAGGCTTATTGCAGAGCATGGGTGCTTGAAGAACCCATCGGTTGACATGCTCCTTTCTGAGACGTTGCAGTTTCATGACAACTGTGGATTCCCTGACCCAAGCCGCTTGGAGTCGGTTGCCCTTAAAGATGCCTGGGCGATCAAGAAGATGTTGACCTTCTGCAGGCATAAGTGGACTAGACCAGAAACCCCAAGGGTGCCTTAGCCAAACTGTTTTTTTGTGTGTGTGGGTGTTTTGGTTTCCGCTCCTGTGTGCTACTGGTTCTGGAATGTTTGTTGAGTTTCTGTTTTGAGGATACTTTGTTGCGGGATTTGTGCAATGATTACCAGCAGGCATTCGAGAAGGTTTGTGATGAAACTTGGCTGCCACATTTTGTGCCTGCAGAACCCAAGACAAACAAACAACACTATACTCACTATACAGACTCTTTCATCTTGATTTTCTGAGGCGATGGGTGCCAAGCTGGCTCATCAGCAACTACAGGAGGTGGTACATGTTGATTCGGATGTGGAGGCTGACAATGAACCAGAGGAGGGTGGTGGTTTTCAGATTGGTTCCGCAAGTGAGAGTGAGAGCGGTTCTGATCACGGTGATTCTTGTGTGGACCCCGTCCCAGAAGGAACCGCTTCAGGCAAAAAGGACTCCCCCAACAACATCGAATGTGACATGTCCCTCGAAGAGATGCTTCGTTTGGCTGAGCTGAAGTTGGAGGCCAAAAGGCTGACACTTGCATGCATTTTTTCACCCATTCAGGTATATTAATCTCCGGGCATCCCAAGGTGGTTTTGCAACACTTGGTTGTCCAAGGATGGCGCAGGAAAGGGCAAGGCTGAAGCCTTTGACCCGGCAAGCCTCTTCAGAAGGACTTTTCAGTTTGTCTCGTGAAGAAGTGATGACCTGTAATTGTGGAGTGTACTTCTTCAGCTTCCAGCTTTTACCCATTTGTCTAGGACCATTTGATGTTCTTTCAAGTGATGATGAACCTGATCCAGCTGACACCTCTGTCAAAGATTATGACGAGACTCAGCCAGTTCACTTGGACACGCAAATCATGCAGAATGCACTAGATGCACCTGGTAGTCCTTCCCAGATTGGACCTAGACCAAAGACGTTTGCGGAAACCAAACGCCGTGGCAAGAGCGATTCTGATGCAACCATTGCTTTCGGAGATGCTACAAAAACAGGGCTGTCCCCCATCAAAGAAGTTCTGCGGCTGAACATTGTCTTTTACTGTGGTTGGTTCTTGCTGATTTGTTGGTCTCGCTGTTGTTGCAGGCGTGCTTGGCAGTCCTTTTGTTCCCCAACCCGAGGTTCCGACGCGGGAAGCGCAGCTATCATTGAAATCAGACCTCAACAAAAAGAAAGAAAAAGAAGAAGGCAAAACCGGGGAGAAGAAGCCTACACCCAAAAGGAGAAGGGGTAAGAACACGGGAGACGCAAAGCATAAAAAAAAGAATAAGAAGAAGCATGCCGTGGGAAAGGGTCGTAACAAGGTTGAGAAGAAACAGGAGAAGAAGGACGGGAAGGGGCCAGGGACAAAACGGGGCAGGAAGGTTGATGGCGCAGAAGAGCTGGAGGTCACACCCCCGAGCAAGAAGGTACCACCCAAGAGGACCCCAGAGAAGGAGAAGAAACCCAAAACAGGGGAGAACTCCACTTTTGCTAGGCGCTACAGACCTAAAGGTGAGAACATGGGGCTTTTTTGGGACGCTGCAGCTCACCACTTCTCCAAGATCATCAAGCCGCACATGCCGGCTGGTAAGCAAACAAAGTGGGAGGCTAGAGAAGGGATGTTTCGGCCATTGTTGGTATTTCGAGTGTTGTTTCAATTTCAACTTTGATGTATATTGGAAATATCAAATGACAGGCTGAGTTCTGGACCTTCGGCTACAAGTTCTACTCTGCGCATGCGAGCGAGGACCCGACAGGGGAAGAAGTGATGGATATTGTGAAGCAGGCAGCAAAGGCATTCATCAAGACCCCGATGGAAGCAGGCCATCATGCCATTGCAGTAAATTCTTGAGTGTCGACTATGCAAGTTCCATTTTCCTTAAGTTCCTTTGTAACCTCCCATGCATTTGATTGAACTTATTGTTGATATTTTTTTGTCCTCCAGGCGGTGCGACTGATGTCAACTAGGCAAGTGAGATGAGCTGGCCTTTGGTGTGATTGGCCACGCGCTCTGTGGGGAATCAGAGCTGAGCGCCAAAGTTGGGGCACACCACTGTAAGGCTTTATTTTGATCCAATTGAGATTAGCGACTCGATGATTTTGTATCGAGTAGGGTGAGCCTCTGTGCAGATCACAGCAGTCCAAACCTCTGACAAAAACGAGTTACAGCTATCTTGTTCCAGCTGACCGAGTTCAATTTGCATTTATCGGCAGGTCAGCTGTTGCTGCTGACCTTTTTTGGGCCAAGTGTAAGTGGCATTCGTCAGCAGGTCGGAATCTACGGCGAGTTCTCCGAGGTCAAAGGGGATTTTCCCGATCAGGCCAAGTGCTTTCCCTCAAGACGAAGAAGCCTGCAAGTGTTCCTGGCACAATTTTAGCTTGTGGCCGAACACGGTTCCAGGTATTATGTGTTATATAAGCTGTTGGCAGTAATTAGAGTGCTAGAGTGCATCGGTGTGGCTGCAGCATTGCCAAGTCAAGTTAGAGGAGTGAACAAAAGGACCTGACGTCATGCCGTCTTGGACTCCTGCGTCTTTGGTGTGCAGCCTGTTCCGGCTGAGAGCACCTAAAGCCGCGAAGCCAAACTTGAATTGCTGTGGTGTTTGTTTCAGAATCCTATCAACCCTTTTCCTGGCAAGTTTGTGCTAAGATCTTCGTCTTGTCCATACTTCTTCTGGTCTGGAATGTTGACATCCGCTGGCATGAGGCGGCGGGGTACTCCTTTCTCTGGCGTACAACAGGCGTCGTCAATGGTGGAGCTCTTCAGCGGATCTGCAGTTATGGCCAGTCAGTTTGAGGGCTGCGGGCAAAACACAGCTTGTTTGGACAAGCTGTATGGTAACGGAATGGACATCAACAAGCCGTCTGGGTTTGGGTGCCATCTTGAGTTGATTTGCGTTGGTTGTGTTTGAGCGGTGGGTGAATGTTGGGTGGTTGAGACAATACCTTTCACAAACTTTGGCTTAATTAAGGTCCTTCTTGACAGCAGTCCTTCGCAATGACATTCAGGGCCTAACTTGGATTGGAGTCCTTTGCTCCAGTTGGGTCACTACGAGCAGGGGCTCGACCCTCCGGAGCTATGTAGTGCCAGAGGGCTGGACGCAGTACAGGTCAGTGCAAGAAGGTAATCTGATGGCTGCCAGGCAGGTTCCATTTTGTCCTTGCTGCCAAAGCTCTATTGGATTGAAGTAAAGGTATAGGGATTTTGACAATTGAAGATTGATGGTTCATGTTGTTTGTCAGGTGTGCGTTCATTTGCCTGCTGATATCAGCATTGAATTCCAATTGGGTCTTGGAGCAGCCACGGTCTAGTCTCATTTTCCGATCAGAAAGATTTCTCTGGCTTTTGGAACGGGTTCGTGTGACATGGTGATGATATATGTTCTTGAACTTTTTTCACGTGAAAGATCCTAACCCCCAACCCTGGAAGAGTAGACTGAAATCAAAAAACCCTGGGGGGGTGGGGGAGCAGTTTCAAGACCAGTTCGGGATTGCCAAATGTCGAGGCGTTTGATGCCTGTTCCACGCTGAGGTCTTTAAAACCTATATGTGGCTTGGACACTATGACGCACCAACTCCTAAGAGATTGGTTCTTTGGTCCAATAGGCCGTGGATATCCGGATTTTCAATCAAGGGCCGCCTGAACATGAAGTCCTTCCAGGAGGTAAAAAAAAC